CGCATGGCTCCCGAGGCCATATCCAAAGCACTGCTTCGTATATCTGTAATTTCTTCCTAGGTGTGGACTGTAACACGAATTCAAGATGTTGTGTCACATTCGACATCACAGAATAAATTCCTTCAAGGCCTTCAAACTCAACAGGAAATAGGAGCTGGGAAATGTGAGTAGACTAGTAGCAAAGGTAGACTAGCAGCGAAGTAGCAAAAGTCAAAACCTTGTAGTGGTGGGTGAACAGAGTAAATCCAAGATTTACAACATGACTTAAAATTGTCCAGAAACCGGGGAAACGCGAAGCGAAGACTAGCGAAAAAGTGACTTAATAGTGGAGAGAGAGAATATCACTAGAAGTTTTAATTGCCCTGTTTAATCACGCTGAGTCTCGCACGATGCATTTTTCAGTGCATAAATGAAAACTGAAACAAAACGTCGCCCACAAATAGAAACTTGTTGAAGGCTTACTAATGCGGTGAAAACTGCAAGGGAGTATACCATGCTGATGACGAAATGAAGGACAAGAAGAACCTGAAATAGAATCGAATTGGGATCGGAAAGACAGATTTGGAGAAATCCTCTGTTTCTATTCAAAAATACCTAATTGGAATTAGATTATCGTTAGTGGTTGAAGCTCAGCTGTTTTCGGCTGATTAAAACGTATTATTCGATCATTTCACTTCCTCTGACAAGCTTGTCCTACAATTAGTGAGTCACTTTGGACTTCTCTTTCCCTTCTACAGCTGCCACCAACAACAGCAGTTTCTAAAACTTGCTCTCTACTGAATCACTACCAGTGTTTCTAGTTACTAGTTTGACATATTCGTTTCTGAGTAGCAAATGCGCTCTTCTTAATCAGACAGACCCAGAAAATCGTACTGACCGTCTTCCCCTCTCAACTCGCAAGTTTTACTAGATAGTTTGATGGGCAAAAGTTGCGCAAAATTGTAGAAAAGAGCCTCGTTCAGAAATATTATTTCAATAAAACGTTCTTGCGGTTCACATTGCACTCGGCATACACAAGTCATTTCGACTGATATCAAAACTGTGAGAATTCATAATCTCTACCAATGAAAACATATTTGCTCAGTTTGGTTGTAAAGAATGCTGGAGCTGTGGAGGGATGAACTCGCGTTTTTGCATCATGTTGGGTTTCGAAATACTTTTCATCATGAAAGTTATCCAGGCCATCGAAATGGATATTTGAGAACTTCTAAGTGAGATGGACAGCACAATCCGTAGCTCAGCTAATTCAGGTTGTGGAGGGTTGGTGGTGTAGTGCGGTGGGTCGAGTCACCTGCCAAAGATGAACTGGTTACCCTATCTTGCGAGTACTGCGCAAATAGGTAGGAGTCTAGATGTGACATTTTGTCAACAGAACTTCCCAAGGGTAACAGTTCCACCTGGTCCAGTGGAGTTAGCTGACTCGATGAAAGTCACCATAACCTTCCGCCAGTACAGTTTCGAGTGCGCGAAAATTTGTGAAACTTGACCAAAGCTGATCCATTCGGCAGAGGTGCGTAGATTGTAGCGAAGGATCTCTATGTCGTGTGCTGCAAACAAGTTCAGAAGCAATCCGTTTTCCTGCAGAAAACAAGCTAGAAAGCGAAGATAACACACTTCGGAGAAGTGGTTTGTCGTGGCAGGTCCTTATAGAACTTTTATACTTTCCAGCTTTCTCCGTATAAGTGGAAACAACTCACTACAGTCCACTTCAGAAGATACCTTCCCAATAGTGTTGCGCATGCCAGCTTCAATCGCAACTTTTCGCTGATCGTTGGCAACGTCCCATATCCAACCATCCTCTTATCATCTTCAGGGCTTTCGTTGTCAATAGAAGAACTTCTTGACTGGATTAATTCTCAACGACATTAAGCCGAGTGCATCTTTTGTGTCATGATCAGTTTGTGCTATTTCCACTTGTAGACGATCAGCAAGCAAGTGATGTCATCCTTTCAATTACCGCATCCTCTATCAGTGCTTCAAATCCCACTTCTCAGCGCACACGTTTTTCGAGATGGTTTGACTTCATTTCCCCCGAGCAATGACCACGTGCTTTGTCACAGTGCAAAAACAATAGGTAAAATGCTGCCACAAGTGGCATAACTGTGGAGTTCCTCATCAAATAATATATGGACCCCGAAGCTATGAAGTGCCGCTGAGAGTGGCGGCCTCTACGAAATTCTTAAAGTGGTACGAGATATGGTCCGAATCAACCCGACGAGGTCGCTTGCAAAAGAGTCAAAAAGTTCGAGAAAAGCTATCACGCAAACTGTCACGTTTCTGAGAAAAAGCTATCGCTTTGCATAAATAGCTGCCAAATGCCTCACTCCATGCTCCATCCATAAAGATAATCCGGTGCGAGAACTTCAAGATGTTTTCCGAATGATTACGTCGGCGCGCCACCGAGAGATGGTCTTCTTCGGTGAAATGCCGTTCAGGGTAAACTTAGATCATAGATGGAGAATTGGTGAATGTTACGGAAAAGAAGCAGAATCATGGTCTTCCCGATTAGCTCTAAAGTCGTGTCCCCACTTGTTTTTTACCAAGAGGATACTCTAAGTAAGCAGAGTTTGACTTGGAGTTGTGCTGACTAATATTTTACCTTCTCTGGACAGAGTCTCACAGTGGATTCTGACCACTAGTGTTTTGGCAGGGTGCAACTTTTAGTTGGTAAACCGGAGGTGATGTCGCAACGGGCGAGAACACCAGCCGTGATCTCAACAGCGCTCAGTTACGATCAAAAAATGTAATTACCTCAATGGTGAAATATTTCGTGTTGAGCTTTTTAGACAACAAGGCCTGCTCGTGACAACACCAGCCCAGGTAACAAACCTGCTCTACGTTTAGGAAGAAATTAGTTGGAGCACCTACGCGCCACAGTGGACGACCTCTCCTCACAACTAAAGGCTAAAGCTCGGTCAAAAGTGACACTTCGAGATGTGAAGCCGGGTTTGGTAATGGCATTTCATTCGTGAACTTCTGCAAAAACGAGCCCTCAATTTATTGTTTTACAGTTCATTACAAGGGCGAAAACTTGAGCAAGTAGTTTTGGCGCACCCTGTATGACTGAAAACATGTTTGGTTGCTCTATGGGAATGCCGTATTCGAGGCTTCGAAGAAGTAGCATTAAAATGCGTTAACACAATTTGATCCTCCAGCTAGACAGAACAGAGAACACTCATTAAAGTGGCGCATAGCATGGGACAGCTCGCTCGAAATCAAAACGAAAGAGCAAAGCATTCAAAAATGTAGCACTAATAACGGAACAACTTTGTGAGCTAATAAAAAGTTTCAATTATTTGTTAGAAATATCTCTTTGATCCTCATGAATAGGCGTGAAAACTTGCGGAGCATGTTTTGTGGCTTCTGCAACTGCGTCTGGAAGAGGTGCAGAAAATTTATTTACAGCTATCTTTTATAAAGCCTTAATTTGCTGATGAAATCCTTCTTCAGAAATTTAGTTAACAATGCACATTACCTTCAGATTGAAATGAAGTGCTGATGGTACAAGGAACTTGTAATGAACCACTGGGTTAGCGATAAAAGCGACGGCGCACAAAATAGCATGGAAGAAATGAAGGCTTTGATGAATCGCATTTGTAGACAAACCTCCGATAATCTGAAAACTTGCTGGTTCATCAATAGGTCACAATACAAATTTCTTCTCAGATTCTAGATTCAAAGAGGCAGAGCCATTGCTTGCAGGATCCTTGAGCATATCTTTATTCAATGCAGAGTATGTATTAATAATTTGAAGGCTAAATTCGACTTGAGAGTTCCATTCTTCTTAAG